ATTTGTGAAATCTGATTTCCGAAACAGGATAGAAAAGACTGAACGATACGCATATGTTTATTCAAAATCGTCGGTACCTTGTGGCGATTGCATTAGTTCACTTTACAGTAATGCATGGGGCACAGACGATATCACAATTTACAAGTTTAATATACGTGAACTGTTATTATTGGATGATTTCTTTTTATAAATACGATGATTATATGTACAGAGATACGTTTCCGATGTCATATTTTCATACATAGACAGCTTTTACTTCAGTTTTCAATGTCCAAATGTGCACTCATCTTAATGAGAAAGACGAGTTCACCACACTCTATTGCTAGGAAGAAGCTAAAAATGCTTACTCTTTCTTAAGTAATAAAATCTGCATTAAAAAATAAAAAAAGGAAATCTACTTAAATAGATCTTAAGCATAAACAACCTTCATTTTTCCTATCTCGTCAAAAAATTACACAAACTTTCTTTGATAAGGAGCAAACCAAAAGAAATAGAGACTTGGGAAGATTCGCATTGTATCGGAATTCTACAACCCATGCATTACAACAAGTGTATCATGCAAGATTCTCTGAGCTACATTGTCCGAATGTCAGTCTTGACGCATAAAGTGATTGTTCACCGTAGCAAACATATAATTCGAAATGAACCGCAGGCCTTAAAGTATCGTGGATATTCTAAGTTTATCGCTCGCGCGTAACCTATTGTCGCAAATTTCATGAATAAATTACAAGTGATAGACTGCTTGAATCAGAGCACCTTAAAAATGTGACAATATGAAGAAACTCGACATTATAAACTAAAAGGTCTTAAATAGACTTAAGTAGATAATGTACTCGTTTTACTACGTGCAATACATTAAAAGCTAAGAGGATGTGAATCAAATTCTTAAAAAGAAACTTAGGAAAATAATCTACGTCATTTCTTATAAAGAACGCATGTATAAATATAGAGAATGTGAAATCTTGAATCTATATGCCGAATGTACACGTAATAAATACAGAAGTAATGCAACTCGATTTGTAAAATATTACGTCTTCATGTGGGAATCTCTTCATATCTTTTTTTTCTAGAAAAATTCAGCTAAAAACTGTAATTTACGAAAAATAATGTTACAGCGCAAATGATTTTCGCAAGACAGTTCAATTTGCGCTATTTTGAGTCCTTTTTTGAGCCACTGTGTTCCAACACTTAACATTCAGGCTGTAAAAAAGAATCAATATTTTGTTTGCATAAACATTTATATCCAAAAATAATAATAAAGTAATCAATATTTTTATAAACTGTGATTATCTCTCTTTATCTGTGATTCTATTTTATCGTTTATTAATTTATTACAAACCTGTAAAACCTTGTGGTGGTTGTCCTGGAACTGAGTATTGTGGTCGAAAGTTGCCGAAATTAACAGCGCCTGCAAAGGTAGCTGGCAATTGTCCTCCGGAGAAACCGGCTGGAAATTGTTGTGCCAGTAACGCTTGTCCAGTCTGAGAACTAGTTCCGCCAGGTGCCGTAGCTGCCAGACGACTTAATATTGACCTCTCAGACATCTGGAGTCTTTGAGCAACTGGTGGAATACGAGCTAATGTCGCTGGCAAACGACTCACATCTGATTTCATATCGGATAATAATTCTTCCAACTGATTTAACACCTATAACAAAAGTTATGTACATGATTGATTACTGCATTTGGGAAATTATATATATTTAAAAATATATTCGGATTTATATATATTCGGATTTAATTGAACTGACCTTATGCAACACCGCATTTGCTGGTTTATTACCGGCAAGACTCTCTTTGCTAAGATGTTGATGGGATTCGGCAAGACATTCAACTTCAGCGAATCGTGCATTAAGACTCATAGCAGGATGATTAGGATCCTGTGTGAGATTCAAATAAGCGGCTCGCCTGAGCTGCTCTTCAATTACCAATGCTTGTTCTAAGAGTTTAAAGCGTCTCGCCAAAAATTTATTTTTATTTCCAGAAAGTTACCTTTTCCCATATCCATCTTGAATGGTTCATTGATGATTGCAAACCTATAATATAAACATAGAATTAGTGCAAAGAGAAATAAAGAATATTTTGAATAATAATGATTTTAATGTTGTTACATTGTAACTTTAGATACTTTCATTTTGTAATTTAGAGTCGTAGAGAATAAATGTCATATATATATATAAATAAAATTACATATTTGCCAGAAAATTGCTCGTAAAAGATATATAACTAAAAACTAATTGTAGTTTCACAAATAATTATATTTCGAGCAAAATTTGTTAAAAAAACGTGCGTTTACCGAATATCGTTTTGAATGTCTTGCCAACGACCATAACCATGCGTCACGATACCAGCCAAAAGCCAATAATCATGTCGGCGATGCCAAATATCATATTCACGACCTGGAACTGCAGCTTTTTCTTCATTTAGCCAAAGTGTATGCAATTCCGTGAAACCACCATCGGCAATGTTAAACATGAATTTACGCTTAGGCTTCATTACTTCTGAATCACAGTCCTTGACATCCTTTTCTTTATTATCTTTCTCCTAAAAAAATAACAAACCAGTAAACTTATGAGCAAAATACAAACTTTTTGATAACTTTTTGATCTTACACGAGTACTTACCTCTCGTTTTTCAACCTCTTCTTCATCATCTTTAACGATAACAACATCTTCTTCCGGTTCGGATTTCTTATTCTCGTTGTTTTCCGTTTTATCATCATGTTTTGTTACGGCTTTCTCGTCTTTCGTATCAGATTTGTCCTTCTCTTTATCTGTGGTCTCCGTTTCAGCATCTTTTTCTTCCTTTTTAATATCCTCCTTTTCCTTGTCTTTCTCAATACTCGTTTCTTCATCTTCTTTAGAATTTTTCGGATCTTCCTTCGAATCTTTTGCGTCACCACTCTAAAATAAATAATTATTTGTTTATGAGAAGTGATTTACGATTTCATATTTCGTGTTGAACGTGTTCATATTTTTGTGTTAAACACAAATTAATAATGTTTCACAATAAAATTATCAAGTACTTACCTCCTTTTCTTTTGATTCATCTCTGCATTCCTTAACTTCAGATGAATCAGAATTTGTTTTGTTAGTTTCGTTACCCGTAGAAGTTGAAGTCGGAGTTGGCGTAGCAGCAGGGCTAGGACTGGGGGCATTTGAAGTTGCTGGGGTGGCACTAGTACTACTAGTACCTGTTGCTGCATCTCCAACTCCCTCTCCAACTTTAACAGGTTCTACTGGCTTACGTATCATCTCTGGCATCGAATAATAGCCATTGATGTGTTCAAATTCTTGAACCTATATGTATATAAATATATATGTAGAATATATATAGAATATATAGAATATACATATCAAGTGCTCAAATTATTGAACTCTCATATCATATCATATATATATATATATATATATTACTTTTTTTTCCCCCTAAATATTTCTCATTAGTTTATAAAATGGGTGCTTTCCATTTACTGACACAAGTCGACAAAAGTATCATTTTGTCCTTGTTAATCATTGAAAACCAAGAAATATAGAACGATACTCTTGTCGACTTGTGTCACTAAATGGAAAGCACCCTATAAATAGAAGCAATAATTTAACGAGCATTACCTTCTTTCTAATTAAAGACATAACACCGATTCTTGTTAATACATGCTGCCGACTAAGACCTTCTCGTGGGACACCATCCGCAAACGTTTCTGCATTGTCAGCACCCGGTTCACAGAGATGTCGCATAAAAAGGGAAACATATGCTTTGAAATTTTTTTCAGACTTTCCACGTAGGTCACGTACCAACCTAAATAAAAACATTTTTATTTCGTTGCAATGCTGATCCGGCGCAATGATACATTCTTATTTTTTACAATTAAAATAGATTATATATATATCATAATAGTAACTTTTGTAAAATAATTTACCATTGAGAATTAAAAGCATCCTGAGGCGGCATTCCATAACGCATAATTGCATTGAGGAATGCCTTCCGTTGCCTTGCATTAAAACCTAATACCTGTAAAAAATATACATATAAATATGCAAAAGTATTATAATATATATGTATTTATACAAATAAAATGTATATACATATACTTTTCTTAAACAATCACTAACCTCGATATTTCCATTTACTCTGGCAAGTAAAGGCGGCAAAGGTCTATCTTTTTCATCACGTCTTTCCAATCTTCGTCTACTTCTACGAGATAATAAATCTCCATCACCTTTCTCGTCGAAATCATCGTCCTCTTTGTCGTCGTCACTGGGCGCACTGAAATCACTATTATAGTCCGACAGATTCTCTTGCCATGGTTGATCATCCCTTGCGCCTTGATCACCAGTTACGCCACCATCGGTATAATTAACTTGTTTTCGTACTCGTTTACCTAAAGTTAATTGAAGATGTATAAATATTAATAGGATTTTTCAGATATATTACTTTAACACATCTATATTAACAAACCTTTGCCAAGTGTTCTAGCGATATCTTCCTGTTGCTGTTCATAATGATGTCTAAGCAGCTTAATCCAATATGCTGGATCTGTATTTTCCGCTTCTTGCTTAATTATCTCTGTATCTGCTTCTTCTTCAGTTTCACCTTCCTTTGTCACATATGAAGCAACTTTGAAGGAACTTAAGTACTCATTAGCCCAATTCTCCTTCTGCTCGATACCCTCCTTACTCCTGTCCAACAATTCGGCGACAGCCTTATCGTCATAATGTATAGCTTCATCCTCCTTACCCTCTTCTTCCTTGAATAATTCCTCCGTACCTGGACAAAAAATTTATCATACTTATCATACTTATCATAAATTTATTATAAAATTACATTAAGAAAAATAATTGTTAAAAAAGAATTGTTTGGCAACAAAATTTCACTTAGATTGTTTTATTATAAGTTTATTGATTAATAGCACCACTGGATCTAAAACTTACCAAAACGTAAGATATCATCAAGTTCTTGTTTACTAAAATTGGCGCCTTTGCCGCCCATGCCTGGTCGCACAACCAAATGAGTGAGCATCATTTTACGCTTAGCTACTTGCGTTACTCTCTCTTCCACAGAATTACGCGTGACAAAACGGTAAATCATAACTTTGTTGGCCTGGCCTATCCTATGAGCTCTGCTAAACGCTTGGATGTCGTTATGCGGATTCCAATCGGAATCGTAAATAATTACGGTATCCGCTGTTGCTAAATTAATACCTAAACCACCAGCGCGCGTAGAAAGCAAAAAAACAAACTGTTGCGCACCTGTAAATACATTTTTCAATTTAAAGCACAGACAAAAACACAAATAAAATATCTTACAAAAACATAAAAATATGTAAATTGTATTGTATGTAAATTGTTCTTGCAAATACTTGCCAGGAGCATTAAATCTATCGATAGCTTCTTGACGCTGCGCACCCGTTATGTTACCATCTATTCTTTCATATTTGTATCCTTCACCTTCCAAATAATCTTCGAGGATATCTAACATCTTAGTCATTTGTGAGAATATAAGAACTCGATGCCCATCGTCTCGTAGTTTCTTAAGCATTTTACTCAATAGAACCAGTTTGCCAGCAGCTTTAATTAGCGCTGATGTTTCGTAACTTCCATTTGGTCCGGTCGGTGCTTCTTGTGACGCAGCGGGAAACAAGTACGGGTGATTGCAGCATTTTTTGAGATCCATCATTATATTTAATAATGATACTTGCTGACCACCTCCCTTCGGATTCAGAGCCTCAAAGTTTCTTGTTAATATATATTTGTAGTATTTCTTCTGCATTGGTGATAATTCGACGCGTACGATAAATTCAGATTTGCTAGGCATGTTCTGCAAAGAAAACAATTAATTGATTAATTAAACCTACACATATACATTCATATATAGCTATAGTAACATCGATGTATAATCGATGTAAAAATTACCAACCTTCAGTACATCAGCTTTTAATCTTCTCAACATATGTGGACCAAGCATTTCATGTAGTTTCTTGACTTGCTCTTCCTTTGAAATATCCGCGAATTCGTTTTGGAATGCCGCTAAATCATTGAATTTATCGCGACATAAGAAATTCAATAAATGGAAAAGTTCCTCCAAATTATTTTGTAGTGGAGTACCAGTTAATAAAAGTTTATATGCAATATTGTATGACGCTAATAATCTAAAAAATTTCGATTGATTAGACTTCAATCTGTGAGCTTCATCTACAACTAAAACGGCCCAATCGATGGAGCCTAAACATGCCGAATCTATCGAAATCAATTCGTAGCTTGTAAGTAAGACATTAAATTTTATCGAGGATGATCGAATTTTAGATGCGCGTCCGCTACGCACAGCACCTTCTTCGAATGATAATTCATTTTCGCGAATCACGATACGGCTATCTTTGTCGCCTGAATAAAAACAAAAACAGAAATTTTATTATTACACATATATTAATTAAAAACACATCAGATTTTATATTTCGTAAGAAAAGACGACTACTAACCTACGTAAGTAACACAGTAAAAGTCAGGTGCCCAAGTTTCAAATTCACGTTCCCAATTGATGATAGTAGATAATGGAACAGAGACTAAGAAGGGCCCTTTGCAATGGCCTTCTTTATACAAAGAATATAAGAATGTTATAGTTTGAATAGTTTTTCCCAAGCCCATTTCGTCGGCCAAAATCGTATCTATACCTTGGCCCCATGAATATCTCAACCAATTTAAACCCTGCAGATTAAAATCATCAAAATGTAATACAAATATTTAAATTCGAGAAAATAAAATGTAAACGCGTGCGTACTTGAGACTTACCTCTAATTGATAAGGATGTAACTGCATTCCAGTTTGATCTAAATATTCTGGCTGTCTCTCATATTTCTTCTTCAAATCCGTCGTAGGTTTATCCGGCGGCGGCGTGTATCGTTTTGGAGTTCTCTCCTCGTCATCAATCAACTCACGCGTTTTTGATTTCTTGCCTTTACCTAAATTGCATTCCATTTCTTTTACAAGAGCACAAGATACCTTGACATGAGCAATAAAATTGTATCGGTATCTCTCTCACCTTTTTTTCCTTTACGCGATGAACTGCCATCGCAACAGTTTGCAGCTCTGAGATCCAAGTAATACTCTATAGCTTGTTTCAAACCAGGAATATCTGCATGTTCATCCTCCCATGTTGCCTGATCATAACCAAGTTCTCTCCACTTCACAAGATACGTGGCTCTACCATCTCTTTGCAATCGATGATTGATCACCCTATGAACTACCAACCATTCTGGACGCACACCATAACGATAGAAACGTTCTTCTAGATTGTACTCATCCCTATTGGTAGCACCATCTTGCTCTTTCAAACGTTTTACACGAGTATCACTTTCGTCCAATGGTTCCTCCAATTTCGGTGGTTCATCCATATCATATTTACGATAATAATTTCTATCATTTAAAAATCATACAGTGTATAGCATGTAATATAAAATTACGCAATTAATATCAGTGCTATCAAAGATTTTCTACCTGTACATAAGAGGATGAAAAACGTCAAGCTGCAGTTCAGTTATCCAATCACAATGCCAATAAGACATATCCGCCCACTTGACAAAGAATTCACGCATTTTTCTTTGCTTGGGCGCAGCTTTGCTTGTAGAAGGTTCTTCTGATGGAGTATCAGAACATTCTTTCCATCTCCAAGTTAATATTTTTGCGACTAAAAAAGAAAATTTAATTATTAAGATAAATTACATAATTTAATATGTATGTTTAAACGTTAACTCATTTAATTCTATGCAATATTAATGCAGTATTAATAAAAATGAAGATGGGTATTAAGTCGACAATGACGTACCTCTTCCTCTTAGCGGTGGGCAAGAACATCTAGGACATTTCCAATCGCCATCAGGAATCTCTGATAAAGGAGGATTTAAACAATGTGTGTGATATGCACTTGTACAACTGTCGCAGCATAATAATTCTCCACCATCTTTGCATACTCTACAAAATTCCATATGTTCATCATCATCCTCTGCTGCACCTGACAATATAAACATAACTGTAATTGTTGTTCGCTCGATAATAAGCGGAGATTCATTGTAGAAAGGAATAAGGAGAATCAGGCCGGTATGGGAGGATATGGGTACCTGCAATACCTTCTCCTTCGCAATGAGCACAACTCCACTTTCCTTCAGGCGTTTCTTCCATTTCGGGCTCTAGGCATACCAAATGATACGCTCTAGGACACGTGTCACATAATATAATTTCCCCGCCTTGCTGACATACCTCACAGTAATCCTGATGATCAGTCTATAGAAAGCAAAACGGAAAAAAAAAAAAAAAAAAAAAGAAGAGAGAGAAAACAGAAAATAATTATTCTGTTTTGATCAAGATGACATAATTTATACATGATGATAAACGAAATTAAAAGATGATAATTAAGCATATTTGAAGCATGTTGCATAAAATAATTATGCAGCTTTAAACATTGCAAAAGAGGAAACTACTTAATTACTTTAAGGCAGAGTCAGACAACGTAGCATATGCGTTCTTGAAGTTCTCTAGATTGACTTGCATATAACATGTTGCATATAACATTACCTTACCCTTATGTTTTACTATACCCTATTAGAAACGCGTTATGTTCCTTACTGAATCTATAAATTTATTTTGTTAATCATTTCAGAAAAAGTTAAAGATGTTAAATATTATATTATATATTAAATATTTGTACGCATATATTTAAATGGAAATTATAAAAAGAATCGCAGCTGTGATAATATTAACAAGCATAATGATTAGACATGCGTCGACTAGCAAATTATATAAATAAATCTCCAAGCTTTTAGTATGAGAATAATTATTATGTGATAGTCCATGATTGCAAGCACGTTTAAAAACAACAATGAACGCATAAGCAAATGCTGCTTAACTCTACCTGGAGACCTTCCTCTCCATCCGGGAACTTGGAAGTAGTTTTCGTCTTCTTCTTTTTCTTGGTCTTGTTGCCAATTTTAGTTTTCGCCTTTCTGCGAACCGGCGGCTCAGCCGGCGGTTCAACACTACCCTCTTCCACGTTGCCTTTGTTACCCTCAGCATTGGGAGTTTCCTCCGCGTCAGCCAGCATCTGTTCGAATTCCATATCGGAATCTGCGGCGGAACCTGCGGCACTGCCTTCCGCTTCCTCATCCTGAATAATAACCGATTTAACTGAAAATCTTCTCTATGCAGAAAATTATTCAAATGAAAAATATAGCATTGTATATACCGAGCTGCCACGTTTACGTTTCCCAAGCTTAATTTTAAGCGTTGGTACTTTCGATGTCTTTTTTCCTTTTTTCGCTCTTGAACCTCGTGATTTTCTCTTTCTGTCACTGTCTTCGTCGTCTTCCTCTTCATCTTCGGCTTCTTGTATAGCACCACTTCGGTTTGCTCTAGCATTTCTACTATCGTCATCCACGTTTGTAGACGAGACATCCGCATCTGGCTGCGTATGTGGATTTAATTCAGAAAAATCACGCCACTTTGCTGCCACTAACATCATAAGTTTCGACATTGGAACCTAATCATAACCAAAAGAATAAATATTATTTAAACAAACATAAACAAATTAATAGACTATTATATTCTATATAAATTTTGTAGCAAATTTGGCATAAAAGGTGCACATACTTTTGGATTTTCTTTTGCTAAAAGCGGTCTGACATGCTGTTGAAATAGCTTGTACGTTGTTAAGTTCTGGAAATCAGCGTCGGAATATTCAATTTGTACGTCTGTCAAACCGAAAGTGTTGCACACTTCCTCAATCGTTGGCATGCCTGTTGTAGGTTCTTGGCTCTGAGTGGTCGGTGTATTATGGCTAGAAGATTTTCTAGATGATGATTTCCTGCTTTTTCTGTTGACTGCATAGTCGCTATCTTCACCAGCCGCGTCACCCGCATCACCGCCACCGAAATCGCTTTCCTAAAATTTCATGCAAAATGTTCAATTATCCAAACACACACACACACACACACACGCGCGCGCGCGCGCGCACATATATATATACAAATATGAAAATAGTAATGTATCTTGTATAACAAAACAAACATATGTGCAACAATAATGTGCTTACATCTCCAGAATCAGATTTTTTCTTTTTCTTTTTCTTCTTTCCTTTCTTATCCTCACTGCGTGCTTTTCGCTTTTCCCTTTTTCTTTTTTCGTTCTTCTGGCTCATAATCATCATCTTCCTCCTAAGAAATTTCATATTTTAAACTTCCATGAAAACTAAAATTAGATTATTAATAT